CTACATATCACTACACTGCCATTCCCATAATCTAAAATAATATTTTTATGAAAAAGCGTAGAAGATTGCTAGTAAAAACAGCCAAAGAATTTAAAGCAAAATATTTTTTTTGACATACAAAGAGGCATTATACCAGGTATGTCACAGGATCTACATAATTTTAACTTTCGCCCATCAGTCTTACGCACAGAAGATGAACTACACTAAAACCTAAATATTACCAAAAAGTTTACATCATAAGCATCATAAAATATCTATTATAATATACTGAGTTTCTCGATAACAATATCTATGTAAATCTTTGGAGACCAGGTCTTACAACAATCTGTAGGAATTCCCATGGGTACCATGAGCCCCATCACTAGCAGATCTGTTTTTGTATACGTGAGTATTTAAAAACTTCTACATAAAAATCGTCTCTTGCTGTGTCCTTCCATTCGTCATTTATGTATATTGACGACGTTTTCACAATAACAATATTCATTTTCAGACCTACGTCGATTCGATACATCCCATCGAACTCAAAATAAAAGACACCACAGAGCCTGACACGTCTGTTTCATATTTGGATGTTTTACTAAAAAAAGACATGATGGCAAAGTATCAACTATGATAAATGCAATGACTCCAACCTTTCTATCGTCATCTTCCCTTGACAAATATTGACGAATAAGCTGATGATACTAAGATATCAAGAATCTCGTTTAAAGTCAACATTTCACAATTTCTATGGTCGATACAATGACCTTGATTCCCACTATAATCCATCGTTACGTCGAATTGACTGACGTCTAATGTTAGGCCATTTTTTCATACTTTTCCGTTTAACCGATCATTACAAAAAGAACAAGGCGGGTGTGACTAGTCGACCGGGGATTCTCACTCCACCATATGGCACCTGATCCCACCTCTGCTTTCAAAGGTCCGTGTTTCCTCTGCTCACAATTTGTATTGTGGAATGGACTTTGAGTGTGATTACTATCATTATCTTCACATTTCATTAATATCCTTTGTCATTAAAGGCTTGGGTAGTTGGTGGAGATTGATTGATATATTGACTGTTTGTTGTTTTACTTCCCTTGCTAGATTTTTCCTGTCATACGAGACGCCACCATATACCGATGAAGGGCTTCAAATTTAATGAATACACTCGGCACTTAGGCCATTGAGCAGTGGGGGTTCTTCATCGTGCCAATGCCTACCGTGACACGGGACCTACGTTTTTGAGGTTATATCCGAAAGACCCTTGACTTTCACTTTAAATGCCAGGCGCTTGGCGAAGGAACAGTATCCGTCATTACCTATTTGAACGTCTTAGGTTTGATGCAGCGCCAGGAACGAGAATCCGGAATCTCCCCATCACGAACGCCCTACAACTAGGTTGCGGAGATTGATAAATTGTAGATAAGTACTTCGACAAGCTCAGGGCTTGGGTTCTTTTCCTTGGTGATTTTAAATTAAAGATGTTTTTTTGTTTTTGTTTTTGTTTTTTTGTTGTTTTTTTTGTTGTTGTTGTTTTTTTTTTTTTTTTTTTTTTTTTTTTTTTTTTTTTTTTGTTTTGTTTTGTTTTTTTTTTTTTTTGGTTTTTTTTTATGAATAAGGTATTTATTGGTTCTTTGAATTTTCAATCCATTAATTTGAGATACATTCACTTGATTTAAATTATAAAAGTAAAGAAGTTCTTAACAGCCCACTACTTATAATAAGCAGAATGAATAAACTAGAAACTCTTTGAAAAACAATGAAGTTTTGCATATCAACACAAAAAACAGATACACCAGCGTTAATAGATACACACTAGTAAATAATCAAGTACCAGTGTCAGAATATAAGTATGTATAACCCATCATGTACTGGCTTACTACTAATTTATTTTTTTTTAAAGTCTAAATTTTGCGTATAGACTGACACCGGTATCCTAAACATAAAAGAAATAACTTTCTCCCCTAAATTAAAGAGAATTTGTACACCTTTTAATAAAATACATTAATAGAAATATCAGTAGCAAACCATTCATTAATGATGTAGCAATATCAGTATTCTTGTTCTGATTATTGAAAAGTATATTATAAATACACAAATGAAAATGTGAGATTCGGTATGTTTTTATAATGCAAATTTAGATCAACTTAAAATTCTCTTGAGACGACACGGATTTTATAGGGCTTTGGGGAGTATGTAAGACTGAATATTCCTTCAAAATCGTATTCTTCATTCTCTGGCTTTTTAATTTCACACTTCAGCAGGACTGTGGCAAAGAGCAGAAATAATTCATTGCGTGCTAGAACCTCACCAAGACATCGTCTTCTCCCAGCACTGAAAGCTAAAACGTTTTCTGTTTTGTCTTTAATAAGTTTTCCCTCTGAGTCAAGGAATCTATCAGGATTGAATTCGGAAGCATTGTCCCATTGCTCATCGTGGCCTACAGAATAATGATTGAAAAAGACGAGGGTTCCTTTCCTAATAATATGACCCTTAACACAGACGTCTTCAGTTGTATAGTGTGGAAGACCCATTGGTACCACTCCCGATAAACGCATCGTCTCGTAGATTGTAGCTTCTGTAAACGGCATATCCTCTCTGTGCTTCGTAGTTATAATACCGCTACCCCCAATATTGTCTTCGATTTCTTTCTGGACCTTTAATTGAATCTCTGGGTATTCTGCCATGTAAAGAAATAGCCAAAGAAGGGTTGTTGCTACCGTATCAAACCCTGCTCCAAAAAAGTCTCCAGTAATACCCAATACGTCCCGTTTTATCACTCCAGCCTCATTTGGTTCATCGCCTAATCCATACTTTATGGTATTTGATATCAATCCATCTACAGCGTGGCGCAAATGTTTTGTATCAAATGTTTTCGATATTTCGTTGATCTTCTTTTCACGAGCTTCTTTACCCTCTTTGGTTAATTTGTAAAAGTTTTGGAGTCTTTCGCGAAAAAAGAATCTTGTCCAAGGAAGAACGTCTGTGGGACTTCCCGCCTTTGTGATTTCTTTGAAAGCCTTGTGATTCTGAATAAATTGAACATAATCTTTATCTTCCCTTATATTTTCTCCTTTGCCATAACAAAACTGATATATAACGCTTCCAGTCGCTTCCATGATGGCTTTGTACGGATTAAAAGGCTTTTCTTTTTCTCTAACAAACTCAGACACTAATCTATTGGCCTCTTCCTGGAGAATTTCTTCCATTTGGTTGTTTTGTTTCCCCGAGAATTCTCTAACAACAGAACTACCTATTTTCCGGAGTAGAAGATACCTTTGATTAAAATATCCAAATGTAAGCCCTCTCATCTTTGTCAAATGCTTAAAAGAATTGAATTCTGGTTTAGCAGCAAAACTGTCAGACTGTTCACTTAAAACTTTTCTTACAGTATCAAGGCCACTTATTACTACAGTTGGCCAAACACCGAGATTTATTTTATAGACATCACCGTATTGTTTTCTATAGCGCTGAAATTGCTGCATAGGATCTTTCCCTAGAAAAGGCAGGTGACCTATCAATGGAAAGCCCCATGGTCCCGGAATTGATTGCCATTTGTGGGTTAGGATTTTAGTCACGACCAACACTATCACAGATATTACGAGGAACTTCAAGGTGTCTAAGTTTTGTATGAGTGGTGATAGGATTGATAATAATTCCATGTTGTATCTGAAAGAAAGACAAAGATGTTTATTTTTCATGTATATATCCCGATTTCACATAATTTTCCATGTAATAATTATTATACGTTTGTTATGTATGATATAGCATACAGCAAAATAAAATGTCTGTGTTTCGTAAGAGAGTCACGTGATGATCTGTCAAGCATTCGTCTCATTGCGTCATTAACTGTGTTTTAACTGGATTAAATGGAACGTACATACTAATGAGGAATACTAATACTTGTATAAATCATAATTGTATTTTTAATCAATAAAAATATCCAAGGAATAAATATTTTCACCACTGTTTATACGAATTACCACTCACTTTATTAGATGCACCCTATCACGATTTAAGACCCCCATAACATACAGATTAAAAATGTATACAAAGTTTTCATAACGCGGTGTTTCATAAGCATATAGCTCTGTAATAAAAGATACGGGAAATGAAATGAAACACCACTATCAATAATCAATAAATAGAAACGGGCAGTAGTAATTTTCTTAAACATTTCAAACCTTTAAAGTAGTTAGATATGAAAAATCTACAAGTTTTTAATCAGAAAAATTGTAGAGGGGAACCATATATAATAAATCGGACTACGGTGGTGCAGTTTACAAGTACGTATACATATCGGTTCATACCCATCAATACGACCACTAAGACTTTGAATGATTAATAATGCAGGCACAGTCAATGGCCATTACGTCGTCAATGGCAACAGAAAACGCCGATAAACATGATAAAGAACCTGTTGAAATGTACATTTTAGATTCCCTATATTTACATAAGTACATAAGTGACTTCAGTCATTCTATATCAGTTAACATAAAACCACGATGATTTTGAATTTTAGAACATAAGAATATCGAAAGTTTCCTCAAATCAGTATATCAGTGCCATCAGTATGCAAAAAGATTCCAATTTCGTACAATATGTAAATATTTAATTTAAGATTCTTCGTTTTTCAGCATTTATAGAAATGTATTATAAAAATTTTCAAATTTATAGAAAATAAAAAGAAAATTCCTCTAGAAGCCTTTCTTACCTAGCCTAGAATTTACCCTGGCATAATACATGTATGTTTGTGAAGAATCCCATATATATAAGTCTGAAGCAATGAGATGTCTGATGTATTTAGAACTTCAAAGTAGGTCACGCGTTCAGCTTACGAAATCATAAACAAAAAGAGGAATAACCTCCTGTCCTCTAATATGCTAAGCAAACTTTTTTTGAATGTTTTTTTAGATTTTACCGGAAGGAAACTGTAACTTCTGTTTTGTTCACTTGAAAATTGCTAACTATAATTGATTTGCATCTTCCAAGATAAAAAAAAAAGTAAAATAAATATATTTAAGTCTAAGATAAACTTTATTCTAATTTATTATAGGCAGTTTGTTGCAATAAAAATGCGAACATGGTATAATACACAGTTATCTACACCCAATGAGTATGAACATTTTAATGGCGGATTCCAGACTAATGCATAGCCTACAATCATTCCTGATCCAATAACATATGCTTAATCTAATAAAGTTGATGAAAATGGAATAGTCTCTTAAATAATTTGCATTTATTTGCAACATCTCTATCTTATATTACAAGCGATGCATTCTATTTCTGATTTGTCCAAATAAAAACAAAGTACCACTTAGAAATCCGGGATACACTGTATTCACTTCAATATTTTTGCCCGAGACACAAGATTTATGCAAACCCAATGTACTTTTACTGCTATAGGGTTACTAATCACTGGTTAAGGTGTATTTTTGTCGATGTCATTCATTTTCAAATTTTGTACTTTAAATTTGGAAATTCACTTTCATGCTAATATTAACTTATTTATACTATGCACATTGCATTAATTCTTTAATTAATTCTCATAATTCCAGTGTAATGCTTTTTCAAATTATTCTAATTATATTAAATGTTAACAATGACATATTTTACACCTTTGAAATAAAACAAACAGGCCAACAAATATAAACTTATAATTATCCAGTAATCATACTTTCATACTTCCAACAACAAAATACTTCAAAAGTTTACAGTATACGGTTTACAATACATGTTTGAAAAGTGAAAACAAAAACAATAATTTTATTTAATTCATAACTATTGATGATATTATTTGCCAAAAATGGTGTAAGCAAATATATCCACGTGAAAATCTCAAAATATATATACATGACTGTTTTCTGTACAATATTTGAATAGAAAAAAAATGTTGATGAAAACAAAACTTTCACAAAACAAAATGCGTAGAGATTTGTTGCCTGCATTTGATGTTTGAATGATAAAGTCAACTCGCACACATTTTTATCTGGGCTGAACACATATTTCATATTCCTTTGGAAAGTAACTAAGACCATACTCTCCTTCAAAGTCGTACTTCACATTCTTAGGTTTACAAATCTTGCAGTTCTGTAGTAGCGTCGCTAACAGGTAAAATATTTCCGTCTGTGCCATCATTTTGCCCAAACAAATGCGTCTCCCTGCGCCAAATGCCAGAACACTATCAACCTTCTCTTTTATCAGACACCCATCTTCATCCAGAAATCGTTCAGGATGGAACTCGTAAGGATTACCCCAGTAGTCGTCATGCATGAGCGACATAATGTTAAAGAACACGACCGTCCCCTTCTCAATCAGGTTTCCCTTAACCACCACATCAGTGGTCGTCATATGTGGTAATCCCATGGGAACAACGGGGGCTATTCTCATGATTTCTAGAATGGTTGCCTCGGTGTATGGTAAAATAGGTCGGTCTTTTATAGAGATGACTTTGTTTCTTCCTATCTTCTCGTCAATTTCCTTTTGAACCCTCATCTGTACGTCTTGATATTCTGCATAATACATAAGAGCCCATCGCAGAGTCGAAGCGGTAGTCTCAAAGCCAGCTCCAAATAGCTCCAATAGTGTTTCAGTAAGTTGTGTTTTAGTCAGTCCTTCTTCGCTTGGCGTATCGGTTATATTGTACTTTAAGCAAGCATTTAGGAAACCATCAAAGGCGTGGCGAGGATGGGCTGGGTCAAAAGTCTCCATAATGGGAGCGCCGATTTCCTTTCGAGCTTTTTGGAAGTGATCAATCAGTTCTAAAAATCTGTTAAATTTACCTGGCATAATATACCTCAACCATGGTAGAACATCGAAGTAATTACCAGCAGTAAAGAATTCTTTGAAAATAGCTTGATCTTCCATGACTTTCAAAAACGCTGGATTCTCTCGAATATTTTCACCCTTTCCATAACAAAACTGGAAGATAATACTTCCTGTCGTCACGTATAGAAGTTCACTTGGGTTAAATGGTTGTCCATTATTTGCCATAAAGGTGGACACTAAAATATTCGATTCTTCCCGCAGCGCGTCTTTCAAGGCGTTATTTTCAGAACCTCCAAATTCCCTTACAACACTACTGGCAATTTTTCTATGAAGTGAATATCTCTCATCGAAAAAACTGAAACTGAGGCCTTTCATATCGCTGAGACTTTTTATTGAAAAGAATGGTGGCCGCGAGGCAAAACTATCAAGGATGAGGGTTGATTTGACGGTGTCTTTTCCGCTGATTATAACAGTGGGCCAGGTTCCAAATCGTAAGAAGACAACGTCACCATATTCTTTCTGGTACTGTTTAAATTTGTTCAGAGGTCGAGATCCAAGGAAAGGGAGATGACCCAACACCGGAAGTCCCCATGGACCAGGCGGTCTGCGCCGCCATCCAAGAATCAGTTTCATGGTAACAAAGATGGCTGACAACACGGTCAATACTACGACAAGGTCCGAGGTTTTCTGGTTTGGCTGGAAATTCATACTTAGTTTACTACCTAGTATAGTCATGTTCACTACAAAAAAATTAACAAAATGTTGGTACAATCAGAAGCAAAGAGCAGATTTAACTAGATAATGTAATAAAGTCCTTCCTGTCAGGTTCTTGTACAAAACATTTTATTCCAAACAGAAATTTTACAAAAGTTTTAATGGTATCCCCTCAAATATTATTACTATTCACAAAACAAAAATGAAAACAATTGAAGGTAAAATAAGAACCAAAAGAAAATGAAGTATATATATAATAGATGGCGGGTAAAATATGCTTACATGTTGCGTCTGGAAAGAGAGTTAATAAAACGAGTTCAATGGATCAATGGGATGCTATATACACACATATACATTTTAAAGAAATCTTCTCAAGCAGGACAAAATATGTTGAGCGTGTAGCCCATGGGCCTTTATTATTTAAAGTTCTAGATATCTAGCACATTTAAACCTAACGTGTCCATGATTGAAAGTTTATTGACATCACACAAGGTCAAGCATGTGTAGTAAAAGAAGAAATCTCATTATAAATTCCTCTTTCTTTTTGCTGAAATGAGTATTTCTTTTTTAACGATAGGACATGAACAGTTAGTAATGTGAACAATGTCATGTTTATTAGACATTGAAGAGTCGTAAAATATTTTGATGTTAATATTTTGGCTAAATGTAACATTTTACCAATTCTTTAAATACTGTTGTTATACTTTTTTACAGAGTTAGTGCTTTGTAGAAAGGTGTGAGGTGCCAAATAACATAAACTTGGTGAAAATTATTCATATAAACACCCAGGAAGTCGGTGAAACAACTGTCTGGGCTGATTGTCCATCTCCAGATATCAGACAGTCCTAATCCATTTCGGACTGACACGGATGTAGATACGAGTGCAGAATGAGATTGTAATTTCTTTCCTTACACATTTTTTTCACAAAAAAAATATATACAATAATTATTCAATTATTATTTATAAACTGCACAGTGGTGTATACTACATTGTATCTATTATCTCATAAAACATTAACATGATCAATGCATGCGAGCAATCAGTAACAGAGAACAATAAGTTACTGAGTATTTCAAATGGTCAGAATAAAAGATAAAAATGAAATTACCTGTCTATAGCGATTTTCTGGTCTCTGTTATGAATGCAGTAACTTGCTGTCAACTCCTATCATCTAAAAATTGTGGTTACGTAAAAAAAAAAAAGTGTACTTAGAGTTACCTCTCGTTGCCTTGATCCTAAAACTAGGGCACGTGTTTTCGGTTACACAACTAGACGACTTTGTGCATAAAATTGCTGCACTTGTGAAATGTTTAGTAAGCCCGTGATTTCAAGCCAGTCTCCATGATATTATGACCGAAAGATTTAAACAAGTCGGTACTTTGTTTACCAATTTATAAACGCTCCAAACTTGGCCGTTGCTTTTTTTACACGATGTGGTTTTTTCTACACGATCTGCAGTCGGTCCGTGGACACGTAGCGTGCAACTATACAAGGTCCAATTTCCATTTGGAAAACCAATTTATAACGATAATGAAAGAAGCAATTAAAATGACGAGTAACTCTTCTATTGAGGACATAATTGACTTGATTGAATTATAATTAACAGGTTATTAACTAAAATATAGGTGACATCAGATGTCCTTGGGTCACGATCTATTAAGTTAAAATTTAGTACTATCAAAGAAAATTATTGTCACTCAAAAATCTGTTCATTTTACAGGGTGTCAGTATGTTCATATTAGTTAAAACATGATTGTGACGTAAACCTTTTGTTTGTGTTGTCCATTCTATAGCTTAATGTTGAGCTAACTCCTCAAAAAATCCATTAAGTTACCTGTAACTGTCCATTCTTTTTGGAAAACTGTCCATTCTTTTAAGAATGGACAGTTTTTTTTTTCAAAAAGAATGGACAGTTAAAACAAACAGAATGGAGAGTTACAGGTAAACTTTGGAATGTGTTGAAGAGGGAAACAAAAACAAATACATTAAATTCTTTTTAATTTACATGTAAATAACAAAAAGAACGCGGAGATCAAAGTTAATCCAGAACACAATGTCTGCACAGCATCCACTCGAGTTTACTCGTTTAAATCCATAAATGACGCACATTATCTCAATACCCAAAACTTAATTTTCACAAATCTTGAATTCAAATGACACAATCTCACATTTGATTTAAATTTCGGAAAAATCATTCCCTCGAGGAAAATTCATTTTCAGACAGAAGTACGTCTAATATTAAATCCTCCACCCAGAAAACAGTTTGCACCATGAACACTACACTGCTGCAGTTAATATTTCGGTAGAAAATAAATAAAAATGAAACATTTCCAGATTTGATTTGAAAAAATTTCAGGTCGAAGATTGGATTTTGGCTAATCCAACACTCAGAACACAATTTGCATCTCACCATTACGCTGCTGCAGTTAATATATCCTCAAAAATAGAATTCAAATTAAACATTTCCAGGTTTGATTTGAATTTGATTATCTGTATCTGTCGTCGAAGTTCATTTTTGGGTCAAAATTTGGCTAATATTTCTTTTACTCTTACTTTTCTCTTTCCAAGTCCAAATATCACTAATTTTGTGCATATTTTGGTTTATAAGATTTTGATTCTGTCATATACTCTCTCCATCACAGGAAAACATGTATGCCTTTACAACGCAAACTTTAAACTGATTTTGAAGCATTGCATACTTGTATAAATACTAGTATCCCTCAAAATTCACCTGTAACTGTCCATTCTTAAGACAAAGACCTTTTGTTATTTGCATCTGGAAACACAATGGCTAATCAACAAATTGCTCTGCATCACTAGCTTACCTGTGACTGTCCATTCCGTAAACAATGAACTTGTCATTGTATGTGTGCGACCTGTCATTTTATACATTTTTATTTAATTTTCAGAACAAAGGAAATCATGTTTTAAGTAGGAGAAAGGCCTCAAACTGTCCATTCTGTGAGAGAAAGAACTAATCTCGGGCCTACGGCCCTCGATTAGTTCTTTCTCTCACAGAATGGACAGTTTTCGGCCTTTCTCCTTTACGTAATGTATCCCTGGATTGGTTATACATGTATTATGTTTACGGTATATACTTGACAATTCAAATTATCAAAACATTTAATTTAAATTGGAATTTTCATAATGAATGAATATATTAAGAATAAATGTCTCGTTAATCGTTTATTACACAAAAAAGTTCAATTATTTATTTATTTATTTATAAATTTATTTATTTATTTATTGGGGGTTGGCTATTCATCTGTAATTCGAGTTACTTTATAGAGTCTCCATTAATTCAGATAGATCCTGGTTACATTCCTGTAATTTTGATTATAATTTACAATTTCACTATTCTTAATGTGTATAACGGTTATGAATGGAATAATTTTTTTTTACTCTTGCAATTACGCATACATATTACAGTCACTTATTTCTATAATAAAAGTTTATCCCATAATTTAATAATAACACATCATTATACTACGGAGTAAATCTTTATTTCAAAAACAAGTTTCTGCGATACATTTGTATCCACAGATTACTTTCTTGATAATTAAGGATCTTCATAAACAATCTCCAATCCATAAGCTTAAAGACGCCTTTTGAAAAAAAATTAATATGAAGATACTTTTCACTACACCTATAATTATTTTGTATTATGTAAACTCAACAAAGAAATGAAATGTACTCTCTTAATGATGTACCACTAACTTGTTTTATCATATGTTCACATATTAATAGTGGATATCACTTATTGAATTTTTTTTTTTTTAAATGTTTCACTCTTTGTAAAGGCATGTGATGTTATTAGTGCATGTTTATAAACAAGATGTGTTCACTTTGTAAAACACTGATGCCCCCGTATGACAGCTTATGGCAAAGGTTAAAGTTTTCAAATGCAAGTCAAACTCACGAGGTCAAGGTAAACAGATCAAAATTGTTGGTACCTAAGGGAATGTCTTGTCAAAAGGAAAACATGTGTGAAGTGTTAAATTCCTAACACCAACTGTTCAAAAGCTATTGCCGGGGTTTAAGTTTTCCAAAAGTAGGTAAAACTCTAAGGTCAAGGTCAAAGGATAAAAATTGATGGTATATAATAAGGGATGAAATTGTTACAAAGAATACACCTGTGAAATTGAAAGCCCTAGCACCAACCGTTCAAAAGTTTTGGCCAAAGTTAAAGGTTGTCACAGTAGATCAGACTCAAAGGTCAAGGTCAAAGGCTCAAAATTGTTGGTACCCAAGGGTAGGTCTTTTCACAAAGAATACTCCTGTGAAGATGAAAGCCCTAGTACCAACCTCTAAAAGTTATGGTCAAGGTTAAAGTGTTTCAAAAGTGGGTCAAACTCCAAGGTCAAACCTTGTCAAAATCGTTGGTACCCAAGGGAAAGTCAAGTTTCAAGGTATATACATGTGTAATATGAAAGACCTAGCTCCAACCATTTAAAACTTATGGCCAAGGTCATAGTTTTTGTAAAGTGGTCAAACTCTAAGGTCAAAGGGTCAGAACGGTTGGTACCCAAGGGAAGGTGTTATCACAAGGAATACACAGGTATAAAATGAAAACCCTAGCACCAACTATTCAAAAAGAAATGGCCAAGGTTAACGTGTGATAAAATTTTGCAAAAGTGGGTCAAACTCCTAGGCCAAAAGGTCATATATATTGGTACCAAAAGAAAGGTCTTGTCACTAGGAATACACATTTGAAATGTAAAAACCATAGCTCCAACCAATCAGAAGTTATGACCAGGGTTAATGATTTTGCTGATAAAAGGACAGCTAGACAGACAGACGGCCAGGCAAAACTAGATGCCTCGAATCTTCTATTACGAGGGCACAACAAATACATGTGTGTGCTATATGAAATATGAAAGATTGGACTAGAAATTTAAACAATTTTAATCAATCGTTGACATAAAGGAACTTTATTTAATTGAGCACTATTTTTAGCGGAGAAATATTCTTAACACCGCACTGGAATGCAAATACATGTAGGGGTAAAAGATACTAAAATCACTACAGGTAAACTCATTTGATAAAGATCATAATCCATCATGAAATATTATTGGATACTTAGTTGTTGTTTTTTTATCCAACTCAATGTATGTTTTCTTTCCCTTCGTCAAACATAATTATACAATAGTTAAGTGTAATTAATGTAAAAAAAAAAAAAAAAAAAAAAAAAAAAAACTCTGATATTTTGCTTTGATACATTAGATTTACTAGGACACTTAGAGTCTATGATATAGTGATATAGAATTTTAGTTGACAATGAAACTTGACTCTGGATATCTTTGATATTTTTCATTTACATTTCTTTATAATCAAGAAATGACCTTGAACCACTACCATCCTCTCCTCAAAAACATGGACAACCTCATAAAATGGTAAGGAAAGTCATGTACCTGAAGAAAGTTTATTTGGGAAAGTGACTTGTTCTATCCCTCTCCTTCTCCACACACAAACACACGCGGAATAAATAGGTTTTTCCGGTTTCCGCAAGTTATTTACATTTTTATGTCCCCGTAATCCAAAATTCGGGGGCATATAGTTTTTGCCCTGTCTGTCGGTCTGTTTGTCTGTTTAACCGAAAAAACTTTAACTTTGCCCATAACTTTTGATTGGTTGGTGCTATGGCTTTCATATTTCACAAATAAATTCCTTGTGACAAGACCTTTCTTTGACTACCATCAAATTTGACCTTTTGACCTTGACCTTGGAGTTTGACCCACTTTTACTAAATTTTATCAAACTTTAACCTTAACCATAACTTTGAATAGCTGGTGCTAGGGATTTCAAACTTCACATGTGTATAACTTGTGAAAGATCTCATTCGGATACCAACAACTTTGACCATTTGACCTTGAAGTTGTAGTTTGACCTACTTTTGAAAAACTTTATCCTTGGCCATAACTTTTGAACATTTGGTGCAAGGTCTTTCATTCTTCGCATGTGTATTCCTCGTGACAAGACATTCCTATGGATATCAACAATTTTGACCTTGACATTTGAGTTTGTCCTACTTTTGAAAAACTTTAACTTTGGTCATAACTTTTTGAATAATTGGTGTTAGGGTGTTCGTACTTCACATGTGTATTCCTTGTGACAAGACCTTTTGGACACCAACAATTTTGACCTTGACCTTGGAGTTTGAC